TCTATACTGGCACATCGCCTCATTTCCCAATCAAAAAAGTTAGGCGTTAGCAGTTAATTATTATTTTTGTATAATTTTTTATCAACATTCGTTTTCGTGGTCATGGTGTAATTCCTCAGTTCATCACCTATTTTTTCAATTGAATATCATCCTAAATTCAACATTTCAGATCCTTCTTCTCATATGGAAAATTTTACTAGCCACGTTAGGTGGTTGGCGTCACTTGGATGCGATGAAAGCAGCCAAAAGGGCTGCGCTCGGTCTCCCTGTAATGGAAAACACTAATAGCCGTCGCTTCTTCTTTGCCTGCTACTCTCATCAATGATGGTGAAGCCGGTATGTTTAGTGTGAATGCTGAAGAAACCTTTTTTTGGAAATTTCGATAGCATTCAAATTCCGACCTTTTGTTAGGTTCCGCCGGCATTGTCTGATGTTTTGCATTGCTTACCATATTAAGGTGCTAGGATGGCGGCGCGTCGTATCGTTCCGATTGGTCGCGTCATGGCTCGACAGTTGGCTTATGCTGGTAGCGAGGAAGCCAGGGATGAAGAATTTGACATCGGTAGATCGATAACGTTGGCATCCTTAGTAAGCCGCGTTCAACTGCACCATTTTCAGGGGCAATAGCCAGTGACGACTACATTCCGGAAGTTGATGGGTCGGCCAAGCGAGGTTGGAGTTTGAAAACTAATCTTGGTCGCTGGATCAGTGGTCATTACTATAAATGTTTAGGGCCCGAGCTACGGCAAGTCTCTAGCGGTGACCGTACTCCTCGTGCCGGGTCTCCTATGCCACGAGAACCACCAAAGCGAAGTTTGCCATGGCGTAGCAAGGTGTCTAAGCAGGAGATCGAGGCTTTCCTCCAGCAGGAGAGGTGAGTCTTGCGTTCACTCTTATTCGGCGTTTACTATTGTTCCGGTGTTATCTTGCAGGCAAAAGTTTTTCCAATATCAATTGCCCGGTGATCTTGAGACGATGTTTGCTCTGCCACCACCAATACATCGTAGTGTGGAAGCGTTGCGGAAACACCTCTACACATCCATTGGAGAGATTCAGGTAAGGATGAGCTTGTGAGGATCAGCACACTTTGGCACGTTTTTTCTTATCATTTCTCTCTCTTTACGACGCAAAGCTTCAGTTTTCATCGGTTATTTTTTGAATACGTTCTCGATGTTGATCGTGGGGCAGTAACTCCTCAAGCACAGCTCTTGAGCTGTTTTTCGATACTTTTGTCTTGCGGCCTTTTATTTCCGCGACTAGCTGTTAGGAGAGTTTCGTGAGTACATCGCTTGGCAAGATTTCCTAAAGCGTTTTCCTGTGATATGAAGAAGAGTTTCCTCAGCAGATTTCTTCATATTTAGGCAGCGCAGGACGAGGATTACAATCGCTATTTGTTCTCAAAAAAGGAAGAGGTTGAAATGAATAATGTAGAGGAACTCTACCGCTTGCTTACTACCAAATTTGTGTCAGTACGTCGTCGCTCTTCTGAAGGTGTTACTTGCGGCAGCACCATCAAACAAGGTAATTGTTCTTGTTTACTATGAAGCTGACAGTTGCATTTATGAGAGGAAGGCGAAATTCATTTCTTCCAGGCAAAGAATGACGCGCTCAATATTCTGGTCGATGTATTAAACACCGGAGACAGACGGATGTGACATTTTGTCGAATTCTATAAGCCTCGATCACTCGACGAGTAGCCCGCTGGAGGAAAGCGTTCGTCTAGCTATCGATATAAATAGACACAAAGAGGTTAGTCCTGTTCTTCAGTGTTGTTTTGAGAACCATTTACTTTTTTTCCAGATTATGGTCAAAGCGACGTCTTCGATTCTGCTACTTCTTATGAAGCATCTCCGTTTGAATCATATTTACCAGTTTGAGTACTTGAGTCAACACATCGTAAGTAGTTATCGCTTTTCACTCTAAATTCGCGCCATAATTGGAAATACTTGTCACTTTTCTAGGTTTATGGAAATGGTATCCCTCTTCTTCTGAAGTTCCTTGACCAAAATATGACACGATATGTGCAGTCTCGTTATGAAATTTATCCCTACAACTATCCTCAGGCCCCGCTACATTACGTTAGAAATCGTGGTAAGTAGATTTCCATTGTCCAGTGATGCGTTATAGCGAAGCTGAAGTTATTCTGAACACTTTGAAAGTAATGCCGGCGTAAATCAGTGTTCTTGTTTCAGATGAGTGGCCTGTCCTCAATTCAGAGAATGTGGAGGGAAGTGAAAGCGAGCGTAGAGGCATGTATTATATGTGGAGGAACATGTTCTCCTCAATAAATCTCATTAGGTACGTTTTAAGGACTTCATAACATTAAGCGCGATTCCCTTTGTCTGGCTCAAGCTATGTTGTTAAGGGTTCTCAACAAGCTGGTCAAGGGGAAACAATCTCGTGTGATGATGTTGATGGTCTTCAAATCAGCGCCCATCTTGAAGCGGTCTCTCAAGATTCGCCTAGTAAGTTTCTTGAGCGAGTTACTGTATCTCGGGCTTGTCCTTGAAAGCCTCATTTCAGGGCCTGTTCCAATTCTTCATCTTGAAAGCGTTGAAAATGCAGTCACGGTATCTCGGTCGACAGTGGAGGAAAAGTAATATGGATATAATGTCAGCGATTTATAATAAAGTTCGACATCGCATGACCGATGACTGGGCGTTTGCGAACGAAATGCGGAAGTCGTACGATTATCACAGTGAGGAAAGTGAACTCAAAGCAGCAGGTGGAACGTTTTCACAGCCGTAGATATGCGAAGATACATCCGCAACTTGCTATTGGTGGGTTATGTTATGTTTATAATATCTTTAGCATGATATAAGTTACTTGAGAACTCTTCCTCGTGTTTAATCAGCAACTTTTTTTAAATTTACTTCTTTTTCTTCAAGCTCCTCAACGAGCCAAATTTGAGCTACTCACCTATTAGAATAAAAGCGCTGAAATGTTTCTTGGCTGGCCCACAATTCACTGTGTAGGGTAAATGACATTTATATAACACTACGACTGAGTGAAAGCGGAGCGCGTGACTTCTATATGAAGAGACCTATCATCGCTCAGTATTTTTCTGACCAGATCTGCCTTTTGTGGCCCTCGTAAGCTAGTCGTCAAGGAAAGTGGTGAGGGCGAAATTAGTTATGATTCTCTTGGGAGAGTTGTCTACCGTACCCATTTATTCCGCTTAGCCTTTTCAGAAGTAAACGACGCTCCGATGCCTGGTGACGATTACCTGAACCGTGTAAATCTTCGCGAATATGAGCCAGTGGATAATTGCCTGCATTCCGTTCTTGGAAAACAACCAGAGCTTGGAAAAAGGTTTTTCCTGTTTTTTTTTGTCATAGCTCACCCTTTTTATCTTTGAATGAAAAAGTAGTTTTGGAAGTAATCTTTCAGATTCAAAAATAACTATCGAAAGTGGATGGAGGATGAAGTGATCAAGAGGAACATCGATTGGGATCGACTTTTGATGAATACAAGGGGAATAGCTCTGTCTAAAGATGTAGCTTGTTGAATTGTTCATCGAGATATTCAGCGAGTTTTATTTCTTATCAACGTTGAGATGGAAGATAGTGAAATGTTGATATGTACCGCTGCCATGATTGATTATTTATCTCTACAAACCGGTTGTTAGTCAAGTTTGAATTGATGTAGCTTGGCAGATTGTGTATTTTTTACGCGTATCATTAGGTCACGGTATGGCGAAGGTTACATTTGTCGCGTGTAACGCGCCTAAATTGCGCAGAAATTAATACAAGTTTATGATCCACCATGAGAACTGGTGGAGACGCAAACACGGTGAAAGGTGGAGGGTAACCTTCGAATCAGATACATGCAGGTGTGCCGCGTGAGTATGTTCGCGTCGTCGGAGTATGTTTGCATCGTCGCGCCGCAATCTAGGAAGCATTTTTTGGGGTTGAATGCTACTCCATGGCGTATTAGTTCACCACTAACTCTTTTGTGGTGAAGAAGCAGCTGAGGTCGTGAACGCGCGCAATTGTTGAATGTCAGAGTATCCCCGTAGTCCGAGATTTCTATAGTCTGCAATGCTTGTACGTATTTGCTTTAAAAAGTGCTTGTTAACTTTTGTTTACCTTATGTGTACATAAATTTTTTTACCCATTCGCGTGTTTACTCATCGTTATCCGGTATTGATCATTCCGGCTCTATCATTCCTCAAGTGCTATCATTTTGAGTCAAGTTTCGGAAGGTGGTTTAGATGTTCTGCCGCGCCCTCCCCCGACTGACCAATCAATACTCGTCCCTCAAGTCACTTCTTTTGATTACGCAACGAAGGTATTGATTCAGTTCATGTGGACTCTGGGCTTATATGAAATTGTGTTTTCCAGCAAAACAACCATAGCTGGTCGCATTCAGCCTGCAACGTATGGTGTGAAAAAAGCAGTACCTGTTGAAATTCAAATAGCTGATTACGCCAAATACATTTGGGACGATTCTGTTACTGAGGATGATCCTTTGGTACCGTGATAAGCTAAGTTTCCCGTGAGAGTCTCTTCCAAGTGGTGCTTACAGGTAGTACGCTTGCGTGAACAAATCTTAGCTGGTTCGCGTGCAGCGTTAGCATCTTCAATCACATTAGTGGAGTCTAGGAATCCGAAGAAACGAGCGCAAGGAAACATGCTTCTCCATGTGAGTTATTTCGACCATTTTAACGATAATACTATCATTTTTGGCGATGAGCTTGCCAGTAAAGATGCCCACTTCGCCCCTGTCCACCCCTTAGGCAGCCTTTAGAGTTGGAGATCGTACATGCGATTAGGCGATTACGCGGTGTTTCAAAAGAAAGTGTACGTATCGATTAGGAGATAGCGGGCAGGTGATGAAAGAAGTACACGCATTGAGTTTTGCCCCTATGAGCGGACGCCTACTCGCCTAGGGCCTAATCGATACGTACCCTTTTCCTGATAGAATAATCGCTCAATCGCATGTACGATCGCCAACTCTGAATGCTTAGCGTCGTGGCGGTTGCGAAGATGGGCTTGAAATGACAGTTTAGTGGTCGGGGAAGTTAGCTTGTAACAGAATGCTTCCATTGAGGGTCTTGAGTGATAGTGGATTCTTGCCATTAGACCAACAGAGGGGCGCTCATGTCCTTGGGGGGGGGACATCCAAGTGAGTGGACCAGTTACTGTGCTTGGGCTTAGTCCTAGGGAGGGGAGGTGATCCTGGAGAGCTTGGGAGTATGTTTTCTCCCTTTTGTTTCCTGCCTTTGCTGAGCTTAGTCCTAGTCTCACCTATCGGCTCTGTTTGAATGCATCCCCCTTCCAAAGGACATGAGCGCCGACAGAGGAAGTCATGCCATCATGGGTGTATTGGCGTCAGGAGACCTTGACATGTTTCTGGTGAAAGGGTAAAGGTTAGAGAATTTGGTGGGGGTATGTCTTTGTCAAAGTGCGTCATGTACTCCACTCCCATGAAGAAACATGCAGGCTTATAAATATGCTTGGCTTAGGGCTAGCCGATACACAAGTCAGTCTTTATATCCTCCCAGGCAAGCCTGGTATTAATCAAGCAAACCTGGCTGGATTGGAAATTAAGTTGTTTTGGACGGTTCAGGATTTGGATCCTGGACCGTGCGCGACTGTAATTAGTGTCACTTTCCTCTTCATATTTTCCTCTTTGATAATATTGGCGAAAAATTCGAAGAGATCTACGTCTTGGAAAGTCAAAGGTGGAATCAAATGCATAATATTGAAAATTCGTCGAATTGTGCGAGAATTTTTAGGGTATCCTTGCTTAATTTTAGGGTATCCTTGCTGCTGAACGAAAACGCTATGAAGAAAAAGGGAAGGATGCGATGATCTACCGTATCGGTGAGCATGTTAGTGGCAGCTAGAAAATTATTCTGTGCAAATTTCTTAAACCTTTTTTTTAGGAATTTCTGGCAGTCCGGGCGTCGGCAAGTCCTCTTTCATAGAGGCCCTTGGAAAGGAACTGATTGAAGCTCGCGGCTTGAAAATCGCAGTGCTAACAATCGATCCGACTAGTGCAGTTACTGGAGGTAACCTTTTTCCTGTCTCGTTGGATCAAATAGTAGGAGGATTTTACTTGTTTCTCTCACAGGATCTTTACTCGGTGATTTGACGCGAATGCAAGAGCTGTCAAGAAATCCCAAGGCCTATATCAGACAGTCACCGACAAGTGGTAAGAATCATTGTTGGGAGAGATAAAACCAATGCGAATCCTTTGAAATTAAACCAATTTTCTGTTCTTTAGGATCCTTAGGAGGAGTTACCAGAGGAATCCATGAGGCTATCATTTTGTGCGAAGGAGCTGGTTACGACGTGGTTATAATTGAAACTGTAGGTGCGTATTTTGGTCTCTGTCTTTCTTGAAACATTCCTTGTGTAGAATATAAATGTCAAGTTTTGCAGGTGTTGGGCAGTCAGAGGTCGCCGTTGTAGATATGTGCGATATATTCTGCTTGCTCCTTTCGCCAGCTCATGGAGACGAACTGCAGGTACATGATCATTTAGTTGCTATAGATCCACTGAAACTAAATGGCAAAGAGTTGAGGAGGTGTAGCGCCCAAAAAGCTGCTTTTTACAATCATAGATTTTCAATCAGAGGTCCTTGAGGGGAGATATGTGACAGAAAGAAAACATTACGGTGACGGTGGAAACAACGAATGAAACTGCATTCTCGTGCGAAAATAATGTGGGATGGGAAGCAAAATCCGCGAGGAGCCGCAAAATCATTCATGTTTTCAAGCATTTGCTTTCTAGGGAGTAAAACGTGGAATTATGGAGTTGAGTGATCTTCTGGTCGTTACGAAGGATGACGGCGATTTACGAGCCAAAGCAAAACTAACACAAGCAGAATACATATCTGCGCTCAAATATATGCGACCTCGGACTCCTGCCTGGAAACCTAAGGTAAGTTAGAGCTGTTTGAACCATTTTTGCTGTGCATTAAAAATGTTTTTTCTGATCGATTGGATTTATTTTCATAAATGAGGTTTGACTTGAAAAAATCCCAATGAAATATTAGCCTATCTATCTAGTTGCGTCATTTCATTCTAGTCAATGTACAGTCCTACTCGATTTGTAACAAGAAATGCTCTGAATCTCGGAATAGGAGCCATTGAAGGCATGCTATCCCTCGCAAGCACTTGTCCTCATATGTTATAGGTAATACTCTTTGTGATGGGAAACGCGGGGGGAGAGAAAGCTCACCGCGGCGCGGACGCGAGCGCGTGCAGGTGACGTCACAGCTGCGACAAAACGGCAACGAGAGGGCGAGGTAGGAGTGTTGCTGTCACTTCGTTTGGCTGATAGAAGGGATACTAGCATTCACTAATTGATGCAGTCAGTAGTACCGTGAGCAAAGAGGTTGTATTGTGTGTAGGTACAATTTTCGCCGTCGAAAATTAGGAATATTTTTGCAAATTTGAGGAAATTAACGGTTTCGCATTTAAAACCCAACGAGTGCGCAATTAAGTCGAAGTTGATTACTTTAAGTTCATTCTTCGTTATTACTTCTACTCACTGCACAGTGAAGTCAGAATCGATAGTGTCTAATACGTATTGTTATAAAGTAATGGCGCCTGTCTTGCCCAATCCCTCCCCGCTGCTGTGACGTCAAATTGACGTCACCTGCACGCGCTCGCATCCGCGCCGCCGGTGAGCTATTCCATGGAGCCAGGGAATCGTTAGGCACTCTTTTTTGTACAGTAACACTTTGAACTGGCGAACATATAGAACAGAAATTGCACGTAGTTTTTATATATTACTCAATTGATCGAACAAACGGAATATCTCACAGGGCCTACTCATAAGGCCTAAAAAAGGCTTTGGGAAATCGTCCGGTCTAATGAGAGCAAACACACCTACTCTAGAAGCTCACTTCTCCTCTTGGGGTCGATCGCCAGAGCTGTGCGATCATTGAAGCTTAACCATGGGTTTAGGCGTAAGTTAAAGCTTATGCTTACACGAGCTTATGCTGAAGCTTACAATTGGGCCTAAACTACTGTCTTCAGTTTGCTTCGAGCCAATGAGTGGTGTCTCAGTTTTAGGTGACCTGACCTGTGGAGGAGAACTGTAGCGCTCTCTACTCCCTTATTTTCGAGATTTCGGCGCTATCGCAAGATATAGGGCATCTTCTTAGACGAAGCCTTGGGGGTAGCAGAAACTTTGAGTGACATGAAATTTGCACCCGTGCTCTGGAGTCTGCTCCCCCTCAGGTTAGTTCCGATTGTCACAAGAGGTGTTCTACGGTTGTGGATGCATTGCCACCACTGCGTCGCTATATATGAGAAAGCGCTAAAATTTCTCTAGCGTGGCTTTTTGATCGTTTTCTGCTATTGTCAGTACGAAGCAGACATCAGTAATTGCATAGACAGGTCCGTTGCCTCAAACTTATTTTGGCTGTTTGTCGTTGTTCCAGCAATCCACATATAAGAGGCTGCTAAACTGGATTAGCTTTCGATTCAGACAATTATGTAGTTGGTTGAAGTAAAAAGGCCTCCTGTTTGTTTTTAGGTTCTTCGTTCCTCCATTATGGATCCGGAGTCAATATCAGCGGTGGCCAACACTATGTACCAGTATTGGGATACCGTACTGAAATCTGGTGATCTAGAGAAACGACGGTCGGCTCAAATGTCAAGATGGATGTGGAATCATGTACAGGATGAACTGATGAAAGTATTCACAGAACACCCAAAAATTGCCCCAATGGCACCAGCTCTCGAAAAGGACGTTCGTGAAGGAAAAATCACACCCGGTTTAGCGTCTGAAATGCTGATTAGAACATTTTTGAATGTATAGTTTTCTACTGATCCTAATAACTTGTCATTTCCAATCGTTATAATAACATAATGGATCACATCGGTTGTCGAGTCCTAGGTGGCGTAATTTTGTTAGCGAGGATTTACTATACATTTCTCATTATAGATTCTCTTGAGCTGTGAAAAGTGTTCATACTATGATTGCCGAGCTTCAGTGGTCCTTTCTTAGACAACGTTTAGGTCTGTGATGTAAAAATGCGAAATGTATACCTGTAGAGTAGATGATTTTATGTATTATCTATAACGATTTAATTTTGTGTAGGTATTATTGTTACAAGTACAGCTATGTCATTCTGGTGCCTGAGTTGACTACGAGTAGAAATGACAGCCTTAGTAAGAAAAAATGATATGAATAAATGATTATACTTCACTGACTTACTATGCAGTTAGTGTAGCTGGCACAGTATCACCAAGTATAAGAAAGGTAGCTATTTCCGCAGTAACTATTTGTAGGGTATTTGAGGGGGGAGGGGGGTATTAGCTTGATTAGTTTTGATATGCTCCATTTGAACCGTGGAAACTACCTATATATTTCTGGAGGTCTCCGCTGCCTGATATGTTCTTCTAATTCTTTTTTACAGTCTTATCTGAAGAGAGTCCTATATTTCCTTCCTTTAGTTTTCAATATGCCCTCGAAATAGGCGCCGTTTTCTTTGGAATTTGCTCTACTTCCTCTTTCAATTGTCTCATGGCTGTTCTCTACTTTCAAATCGGCACTTCCTTTCAAGGTTCCAGCAGTCATTTGAAGATGTTTGATGAAAAGAAATTGTTTACTCGTAGAGCTGACCCTGCCGCTTAACGACTGTAGACCTTGCATTGTCCCTGGAACACCTGCTGGGCCAGATGTCTATCGCAAACGCTTGTATGCGCTTGTTGTAAGCAATACATACTGTTCTCAACCACTACTAGGGTACCAAAAATTGCATTGGCTCTATTTCTGGCTGACATAAACTTTGTAAACAATATGCAAAGAATCGTTACCTTTGTTCATGAAAGAAAACCCTTGAGTTTTTTTCATGTTGGGCGAGTTTTTTCTGAAGTTGGTGTCTTGTGTTTTTTTTCTTCAAAAATACCGCGTTATTTCTTCGTGGAACCTTTCAAATCTCTGTAATTATTTGCTGCATAACTGAATGATTTGATCCGTTGTTCAGTGGTTGAGGAAATGTCCGGTTCAACCACTCGCTTTGCCATCGACTATGCGAAGAGGGTAGCCGGATGTAAAAAATGCAAACTGCAGTTGCCAAAAGGGGTTTGTCTGTTTCTCTGTTTTTTTTTTCATTCTCGCAAAATCAGTAGTTGGAGTGAGCAGGAAATTTGTGGGCGTTCATTAATGTTGAGCCATTTAAAACATTCTCAGTCTAGTTGACGCGGCGGTATGAATTATTTGCCTTTCCTTTATTCGCCCTAAGGGCACGAGTGTCCATATCGTAAAGGCAGACCTTGGCGTAACCCTGGATAAGTTATGTATGGTAAGTGATCGCTTACGACATGTTTGCACTACTGTACTGGATGGTAACATTTAGTTGCTCTACAAGTTCGTGCTACTTGTTTCTCGTATATTAAATTTACAAAATTTTTGTTCCGTAGACTTCAGAGACTGTGACTGCACCTCTTAAAATTAGCAGGTTGTGATTGCTAGAGCGTGAGAATTTTACCTATACGTTTTCAAAATAGACGCCCTTTAAAAATGTATTTAGTTGTATTATTTTTATTAGAAAACTGAAAAATTCAAAAATGCAAAAATAAAAATATACCAAATCTATTTGATATCTGGTTCTGTGACCAGACCACACGCTCTAACTTCGCCTACCTTTTCCTCCGAGTTGAACATCGTGTGGGGGTGGGGGTTAAGATTGAATGTCTAGAAAAACGTTAGATGCTCAAATTTTCTCAGGTTCCTCTTTCATTCGTGAAATTTCGCAAAAATTATCAAAAAGAAGCAAATCTAACACGACTTCCTCCCGTACTCGAACCACGACCCATCGAATAAGAGACAATATATGACCTCGCTTAAAAACTTCAAACGACCCCCCTCCCCTCCCCCTCCTGTAAAGTGAGCAACGCACAGTAGACCTGCACGCAACCTCGAGGGATTGCCAGAATCTGGTCGGAATTCGATAGCATTGCGAGCATATCGTCAAAGTTCAGATATCTCTTAGCGAGGTAACGCGAATGATCTCAAGTGCTGCTGAAGAACCTCATAGGTTACTCAACTCATCGCAACATTTGGCCCAGGTAAGGTTCAAAATAGCGTTGCGCGGTTTGCGAACGGCCCCAAAGAGCCTTGTTTTGAGGATTGTGCTCTTGGACACTTTGAAGAAACAGAACCGTCGCCCTCCATGGTCAGGACATATGATTCCTCACTAGCAGGTTTAAGTGGATTGCACCTATCATCTGCTCAGGTTAGTCAGGGTACTTACTTGTTAGAAGCGTTGGCGATTCACCGCCATTTGCATTGGGTCATGCGACATCTCGAAATAAAATGAGGCGAGAGAGCTAGCACGAACTTGTTGAACAGCCTGATGGCATTTCTGTTTCAAGAGTTCTTCGAAGTGGTACTGGTCTAGTCAAGTGGTTGTAACTATTTCATACTTTTGGGAATATCTCTAATTTAAATTTCCTTTTACGAAGCAGCATTCAAGAGGAAAAAAGGAGAGGGCAAAAAAAATTTGTTTTTTTTTTCTTTGCATTTGAAGTTCTCTCGCTATTGTTTGACTCTAGCGGCTGCAGTATCGTTGGCTGTTTAGGAAATTCGTCTCGCAAAAATCACGCCGAATCCATTTGTGCAAAGGGAGGAAGGACCTCCACCAGACATGAAGATGTACTACCATCCCCACTTGTTTATTCGAAATGTTCTTCAAGGCGAGAGCAAATACAAAAGTCATTGAGGGAGTAGAGGACATTGAAGGTATTGTTCTTTCTTATCATTCATTATTTGTTCGTCTGGAATTTTTTGTCGTGGTCTTGAATAGCTTTTTTGGCAGTCTGGCGTGGTGAAGTGACAAGTGGCGCGCTTACCACGCGAGCGGTCCGGGGATCAAATCCTGGGTCGTGAGTCGCCCGGGCCAACCAAGCCTTCCATCCCTCCGGGGTCGGTTAATTGGTACCAGACTTGTCTGGGAGGATAAAAACACTGACTTGTCGGCTGGCCCCCGCAAGTCATTGTATAGGCCACATCGCATTCAAATGCCACTGTAATGTACAAATGGAAGTAGAATGCGTGGCCGCATCCCAAAACGGGACTGATCAACGCCGAATGCTTTACGCTTCCATGTTTTGCGGGATTTCTGTTGTTTTCAGGGTGGGACGATGTGAAAGAGGAGGATAAAGAGCCAATTCTGAAGTTTATCGACGAGTTGAATGAGCTTCGTGCCAATAAAGGAGAAGGAGGAGCAAAACGAACACCGAAAAAGAAAGCGGACGACACGGCTTCACCTGAAAAGGTAAGTGGTCTGCATTTGAATAGTCCTCAGTTTTCTGCCAAGGACTGCAGCACTTCAAAAACTGCAAACTTTAGTCTTAAAATCTCTCCCTTTTTCTCAAATCAAAGCACTGCTGCGACGATTTGCTTGGAGTACTGTAAGGTTGTTATATTTTGTGATGTTGTCATGAAAAAAGTATAAAACAAACGTCTGTAATACGGCGGCGGAATCTCTAAACTTGGAAGGGAACGAGTGTTCCGTATACCCATACATGCAGTTTGCAGATCTCCGTGTAATCAATTTCAGATATTTCTCAAATTTTCATTTGGTTCTGCCTCAGGCATACATCCTCTGCACAAGCTCATCTATGGCATTTAACCCTTTCCGGACCGCCTGACACCCATGGGGTGTCAGGGACTTCAAGAGTGATTTTTCCAGGATTTGGTTTTTCGACAAAATGTTTTATGTTGTTACATATCTATGTAACATACTCATGCCGTACGTATGAAAAAACCTAGACTTCAATCTCGAAATAGTTCCTAAAATAACCAAAAACTAAATGGACTTCCACTTCGAGCTCAAAGAAAACAGTTATAACTCATTTGAAAACAATTCATACAAAAGAATTCATGACACGTGCACGTCGTATCTGATGCTATTGAATCCAAACGTTTCGGACACTTTCTAGTCCCTTTTTCCCCATTACAACTTATTTTGAACAATTTTCATCCTGCCTCCCTTTTTATGGCCCTATCACTTTTATTACAGGACGGCTTTCTGTCATATTTACCACAGATATACTTTAGACATGACAAAGACACAAACGAGACAAAATTGATTTTAATGCCATCTTCAACACTACGCTCTCTCAGCTATCTAATCACTCGCCACGTATAGACCTGCGGCGAGTGATCAGATGGTCGGTGGGCGTGCACTGGCCCACCGCGCCAAGATTGAGT